AACTATAAAAGTCATCAAACACAAAATAGGAACAAACTTAGGGGCCCTAATTTATGGCATAAACAGACTATCAAGCATAATCCAAAATGTACAAACTGCAGAAGAGAAACTAGATGACTGGGACCTTCTAAAAATTAAATTCTTATGTGCATCAAAAGACTTCTCCAAAAGGCTAAAAAGAGAACCTACAGATTGGGGAAAAAAAATATTTGACAATGGCTACATGACAAGGGATTTATCTAAAATTTATAGAAAATTTTAACATCTCAACTTCAAAAAGAAAAACAACCCACTTCAAAAATGGGCAAAGGACATGAACAGACACTTCACCAAAGAAGATATGTGGGCAGCCAACAAACACATGAAAAAATTTTTGCGATCTATGTCATTAGAGAGGTACAAATCAAAACAACAATGAGATATCATCTCATTTCAACAATGTGGTAGTTATGTTTTTGTGTCAACTTGGGTGGGCCTGGTTGAGTGGCTGGGCAGCTGGTGATAGTTATTCCCCATGATGAGACTGGCAATCAACTCCATGGTGGGATCTACCACAAATAGCTGAGTAGCTGCTTTGGGTAGTGGTCTGCTTCCTGCATATAAGCAAAAGCCTTGGGGAATGATCTCTAGCTTATGGCACGCATGGACCCTGCATGTAGCTGTGTCATTTTTCAGCAACCTGCCATGCTCTTCCAGCCTTGGGACTTACAATGGACTTGAGTTAATGGCCTGCATTGTGGTTTGGTAACATTGGGACTATGCCATTTTATTTGTCGACCTTGGGCTTGTTAGCCTCAGCAGCCAGTAGCTGCCTGAGTGAAGAGCTGCCTCTAGCTTCAGTGGGCTGGGAGTAAGAGGCAGAGCTGAAGCCCAAGTTTGAGGGGCTTTCACATAGCCCCTAGAGCCTAGCACTTTGAACTTGGACTTAAAGCCTCCAAACTGAGAGAATAAACTCCTATTTATTAAGGCCATCCCATTTGTGGTATATTCCTGTCAGAGTGGCACTAGGTAACCAGAACAAACAATAATTGCAAAGTTCAACAGGACAGAAAACAACAAATGCTGGCAAGGATCTGGAGAGATTAGAATCTCATACCCTGCTGGTGGGACTGTAGAATGGTATAACCACTGTGGAAAACAGTATGGCACTTCCTTAAAAAGTTGATAGAGCCTGGTGACACCCCTGAGACTATGGCACCTAGTTACCCTTCAGGTCTAGAACTGAACTCCCTCCTGTGGCTTCCAGCCAAACAATAGAGAGGTATATAGAGTGAATATTTACCTCAGGTAGATGCACTCCTTAGAATGCTCAATCATGGGAGAACAGAAGGGCAGTATTTGCACAGGGAGATAGCTCAAGAGGCAAGAATGCATAGGAAAGAAGGACATAGGGAAGAGTCAACTACAGGGAGGAAGTGGGAAAAGAGCTGTTACACTGTGGGGAATTACAGTCAGTGTCATGAAACAAAATGAATTTGCTCTGTAAAATCACCCAAATCACAACTTTACAAAAGGTGGAAATAGAAATATTATTTGATCCAGCAATCCCACTACTCGGAATATATTCTAAAAAGGTGAGATCTGGGACACAAATAAATAGATGTTTACACACACTTGTTCATCACAGCACTATTTACTATAGCAAAGAGATAGAAACCACCTAAGTGCCCATCAACAGATGAATGGATCACCAATCTAGGGTACATACATACAATAGAGTACTATGCAACATTAAAGAACAATGAAGAATCAGTGAATCACCTCATAATGTGGATGAACTTAGAGGACATTATGCTGGTGAAATAAGTCAATCACAGGAGGACAAACATTGTATAAGTCCATTATTGTAAAAAGTTAAGGACAGGTTTACACAGGGAAGGAAACTTCCTTTGTTGGTTAACAGGGATGAAGGGGAGAGGAAAAGAGGGAAAAGAGATGGATAAATAAGAGATAGGTTTGATATGGGTGAGGGAAAATGCAGTATAATAAAAGCATGTGACTAGCACAATATCACTAAGGAACAGGAAGACACAGAGAGGCATATAGACCACAAAGGCAAATACTATTGCATGCACAATGCTTCATTATCAGTAACAACAAACACTAATCTATGGGTGGATACATAGGTAGACAGCAATAGTATCAGTTATGGATAGGCAAATGGGAATATATCTACAACTATACATAGGTTTGGCAGACAATATTACCACATATGTATTTGTATGTGCTATAAAAGTTTCCACATGCAGTTTAAACATAACAGGAGACAAAGTTAGGATATCTTCTTAGGCACAAAAAAGAAGAAGATGGAAGGAATACGCTGAGTCACTGTAGCAAAAAGAAATGGTCAGCTTTCAACCATTTCAGGAGGTAGCATATGATCAGGAACCAACGATATCGAAGGAAGAAGTCCAAGCTGCACTGAAAGCATCAGTGAAAAACTAGGCTCCAGGAACTGATGGAATACCCACTGAGATATTTTAACAAATGGATGCAACACTGAAGGTGCTCACTTGTTTATGCCAAGAAATTTGGCCCACCAACTGGAAGAGATCAATATTTGTATCCATTGCAAAGAAAAGTGATCCCACGGAATGTGGAAATTATCTAACAATATGATTAAAATCACACACAAGTAAAATTTTTCTGAAGATAATTAAAAAAACAGTTGCCACAGTACATCAATAGGAAACTGCCAGAAGAGCATGTGGAATGAGGGATATCATTGCTGATGTCAGATGGATCTTGGCTGAAAGCATAAAATACCAGAAAGATGTTTTAAAAAACCCAAAAACCAAACTCATTGCCCTCAAGTCAGACCCGAGTCATGGCGACCCCTCCTTGGGTTTCCAAAGCAGTATCACTATGGAAGTAGATTGCCCAACCTTCCTTCCAAGGAGTGGCAGGTGGGTATGAACCGCCAGCCTTCTGGTTAGCAGTCAAAAGCAATCACTATGCAATTGCTAGAAGAACAAACAAATCTGTCTTGGAAGAAGTACAGCCAGAATGCTCCTTAGAAGCAAGAATGGCCAGATTTCATCTCTCATACTTCGGTCATGTTGTCAGAAGGGACCAGTCCCTGGAGGAGGATATCATAATGTGTAAAGTAGAGGATCAGTGAAAAATGGGAAGATCTTCAACAAGATGAATTGACAGAGTCTGTGACAATTATCTCAAGCATGACAATGATTATGAGGATGGCACAGGACCTGGCAGTGTTTTGTTCTGTTGTACTTAGGGTCACTATGAGTCAGAATCGACTTGATGGCACCTAACAACAATAGGAGCAAACATTGAAGACCCTGTTTGAGGACACAGGGACCCAACATATTCTCATCTGGGCCATCTTGACAGGGTTAAAGTGTCTGCAGAGGTTGGTCTGCTCTGGGGTAATTCTCGGCCCTGTTTTTCCCACATGGGGGATGGGAGAACCATGGAAAATGAGTAATACTTGGCTAAATCCAAGTTCTAAAAGTTTTTAAAATATGGAAAAAATAAATGAAGGAGAAGACTTTAAGCAACTAGCCATCCCTAGGAAATGGCTCTCCCAGTCCCCTGGCCCCATGCTTGTGTCCAGGCATCCTTCATGCAAAGCACCTAGTACACTGAACATCAGCCATTGATTAAGCACTGGTCCCTCCTAGGACACAGCGGTTCTTTGAGGGTAGGGATCACACTTTACTTGACTTTGTATCACCATCAGCTAGACAATGCCCAGCACATCATAAGCCCTCAATAAATGTTTGTGGCAAAAAGGAGGAAAGGAAGGAAGGAAGGGAGTAAGGAAGGGAGGGAGAGAAGGGAGGGATGAAACAAGAATTCACGCTTTGGAAAATCCCTGGGAGATTGTTTATCATGGACATCTTGACTCACCAGGGCCATCTTGGATCATTCTTAGGGCCATTTTGTTATGATTTCTCCTCAGAGAAGTACCGTAAAAGGCAAAGCCTTCTCTTCTCCATATATTTCTACCTCAGCCTACAGATAATGGGCTCCCATCAGAACTCCCCTGCAAACTTAGGAAATGTTGTAGAAAACATTTCTGGTTTTTTCCCACCCTTTCCTTGGTCTTCCCCTAGAGATGAAACAGCTAATGTAGTTGACAAGAGGCTGGTGTTTCTAGGCCATTTTGCCAGTGTATGGCTTACTTTTTTCCTCAAGAGAAGGAAAAGTCTCTTTCTCTCTCTTCATCCTCCTTTCCTCCCTCCTTATCCTTTTGGTTTAACGATCAGTAGGATCCTCTGGTCAGACTATCCCTGCAGTAAGGATGGTGAGGGAACACATCCCAATCTCTAGTTTCTTGGCCTAAATCTGGAGCAGAAGTGGTGGGTGGTCCATGTCCATGTCAGGCCTAAATTGAGACCTTTGGGAAATAAATCTGATATGCTGATTTCCAGACAGTATAAAACACCATGACAGGAAAGTGACTTTACTCTGTAAATTTTCACCCAAATCACAATAAAGAAAAAAAAAAAAAAAAAAACACCACCATGACAGCAGGAATGTTGCTTTGTTTGTTTGCTGCTGTATCTCTAGAACAATGCCTGCTCAAAGCTGGCATGTAGTCATTAAATGTCTGCTGAATAAATGAATTCCCATTTGGTGAAATTTTTTGTTGTTGTTTATACTGCTGGTCTGTATGGAGGAAGGGACAAGGGTCTAGTGATAATCCTAACCAAAATTATTTCTTGCTGTATGCTATTGACTGTGTATGCTATTGACTGTATACCATTGACTGTGTATGTTGAAATTGCACTGGTTATCAGAGGCGGAGGTGCAGTGCTCTGCGTGTTCCCAGCAGCATTTCTTTACACATTCAGTAAGCATTTAAATTACTGAGGAGGAATAGTCAGGGCACTATAAATAACTTCATAATAAATTTAAATAGCTGCTGCCAGCTGCTCTGTACTTATCACTTACACTGCTCTTTAAGGCTAAAAAGCACAGGCCCCTCATTAATAAAAAATGAGATTGTTTGAGACTGAGCGGCAAGTCCTTACTTGTTCTCTGATTGCAGGTAGAATCATCTCCAGGGATCCCGTTGGCATTCCACGCATAGGCCTTTATGGTATAAAGAGTTCCGGCATCTAAACTGCTGAATGTCAAGGAGGTGTTTGTAGTGTTCTCTTTCCATATTCTCCCCAAGCCATTGGCTCGCATAATGGACACAGAGAATCCAATTGCTGTGTAGACAGTTTCCCACTGCACAAGAATAGAGTCTGGACTTGGAGAGCTTACTTGTAGAATTGGTGCAGCCAATACTAAAAAGACAAAATGATATGTATTTGCATTAAGGAAGCCCAAAAAAGGATAATCCAAATTCAGAAACAAATAAATTGAAGCTGATTATTGATTATCCATATTATAATATAATGATTTGTTTTGCAAAAGAATCCTCAGCAGAGTCCATCAAATACTTGCTTATTTGAACCATAATCAACCCACAGCCATTGAGTTGATTCCGACTCATAGTGACTCTATAGTACAGAGCAGTACTGCCCCATAGGGTTTCCATGGCTGTAAATCTTTACAGAAGCAGACTGCCTCATCTTTCTCCTATGGAGTGGCTGGTGGGTTCAATCCACCAACCTTTTGGTTAGCAGCCCAATCCTTTAACCACAGTGACACCAAGCTCCTTCTTATTTATCTAGATGTGTTTTGATTATAAATGACTGGGCAAAGGAATGGGGAAAATGGAAACTCTAAATATGAGGCACTACTTTCAACAACTGAAGATGGTCAGAAATTAGATAAAACATCCCAGTAACCACAGTATAAATTGATGGGGAAATAATGGCTTATAGTATTTTAATGTGTATATTAACTTTTCAGAAATATACTTAGGTAAAACTTTATCAAATTAATTTTAAATAATAGTGATGACAAACCCCAAATGTTATTTGTTAATATATATGCCAGGCAGTTAAAGTACAGCAAAATCTTTCCTTCTTGTTCTTTATTTGGTCTGGTCTTTATGGTTATCAGGAGCTCTGGTGGTGCAGTGGTTAAAGCATTTGGCTGCTAACCAAAAGGTTGGTGGTTCAAACACACCAGACGCTTCTCAGTGGAAGTTGAGGCAGTCTGCTTCTGTAAAGCTGTAAGCTTTGGAAACCATATGGGGCAGTTCTACTCTGTCCTATACGGTCAGTAGGAGTTGGAGTCAACTTAATGGCAGTGGGTTTGGTTTGGTTATATGGCTTTCATCCTTTCAGAAATTCAAAGGAGGGATGCTTTTAAAGGCACCCCAAAATGGCTTTTATTTTCCAAAGCAAAGCATCTGGTATTTAAACACCACCTCCTCCACAGATATCTGAGTTCTCAAAATATATCATTCTGGAACCAGAGTTGTAGACACTCAGGTGATGCCAAATCACATTTTGCATTTCTCTGCAGCATCATTATAAATGATACAGGTCACAAGCAAATGCTTAACATAGGAAGAGCACCAGCTACCTGTCTTTGCCTGCTTTGGAGGTGATGCCTGGCTTCTCCCAGTAGCACTGATGGATCTGATGGTGATTTGGTACAAGGTCGCAGCCTTCAAGCCTGTCACGGTGCCTGGGGAATCGGCCACCATAGTTTCAATGACTGTGTCCCCATCTCTGGCTGCGAGGAGGTAACTAGTAGCCCCTGGCACTGTAATCCATTCCACCGTGATACTGCTGCTGATTTTTGAATATGCCTGGTCAATGGTGGGTATTTCAGGAGCTGAAACAGATTTTGAGGTTGTACATTAGCCAGAATGCATACAGGGATCACTTCTCTGATCACTTCACATTTCATACTAAATCATTCTCCTACTATCGTCAGATATAAGCTTTGCCATTATTTTCCAGATCAGGAGAAACCAAGAAAAAGAAAGGCAAGCGGGTGTCCAAAAAGAGAGCCAGAAGGCCCAAATCCAAAGCCCAATCCTCAACTCTCATTCTGTGACAGAGTTTCAAAGAGTATTTTCCTAGTTACTTTGTGGGATAATTTGTACTTTGGGTACTTTGGAAAGTTCAGTAAGATTGGGAGGTGTTTGTGGGAAAGGACTCTTTCCTATTTGAGGGACTTTATCTTCTCTAGCTTGGCATTCTGTGAGTTTCCTGGCCTGCTTTACAGGGTAACTCCCCTCTTGTCCCATGACTGGGAAATACTGCCTCCAGCTAGGCTCCACTTCCACCCCTACCCCCACCCACTCCCTGTGGCTATGGCCAACAACTTCATGCACTTTGCAGGTTTCTCAAATGGCATTTAAAGTAATGAAGTAATCCCTCAGAAACAGCCAAACACCTTGTGAGAGAGAACCACTGGGTCTATTGACTCGGGACCATAGTATTGGGAGACACCAGGCTCAACTGGCACAACATAATACATAAAAATCTCACTCCACAACCTGCTTTGGTGAGTAGCAATTGGGGTCTTAAAAGCTTTCAAGCAGCCATCTAAGATGCAGCTAATGGTCTCCTCTCATCTGAAGCAAAGAAGAGTGAAGAAAACCAAGGGCATTGGGAACAATCAGCCCTAAGATATGATGGACCTCAAGACCAGAAGAACTAGATGGTGTTCAGCTACCAATGCCAACCATTTGGGAGGGATCAAAACTGGAGATCCTGGATAGAGTGGGAGGAAAAACACGGAACAAAATTCAAAAACACAATAACAACCAGAATTACCGGTCAGATGGAGTCCGGTGGGACTCCCAACGTTATGGCCCTGGGATGCACTTCAGGCCTGGGATAGGACTCACTCCCAAGGGCTGGCTCTCAGCCCAACAGTAGAAAGACTTACATGCAGAACACCCAACCCAGGGCAATGCACCCACCTACTCTACGGAGATACACCCCTTAGAGCAGTCGAGCATGGGGTACCAGAGGGGCAGCAATCACATGGAAGGAAAGCTGGACAGACAGGAGTGCATGGTTAAGAAGGGCACTGGGAGGGGGGCAGTTACTGGGAAGTGAGAGGAGGAGAGTGGGTTAGGGTTGGGGATGGTAATTGGGGAGTGAAACCAAATGTAAAAGAACTGTTCAATGTAAAACATTTCAATAGTTTTCAAGTAAAACTGTTCAATGTAAAAATTCTGCTCTGTAAATTTGCACCCAAAACACAATTTTAAATAAGTAAATAAATAAAATAATGGTGGAAGGAGGGGAATTCTTTTTGCAATTATTCCAAAATGCTTTCTTTCATATTTTCAGAGTAGAAAAGAAATTAATATTCTTCTCTATAAAATAAAGATAAACTTTAATCTCTCCTCTATCAAAGTACCTGCCTCATAAAGAGAAATGAAATCCTTACACATGCTACAGCATTCATGAACATTGAAAACATGTGGAGTGAAGTAAGTCAATCACAAAAGGACAAATGATGTATGATACCACTTATATAAAAATTCTAGAATAGAATATTTGAATTTTATCCCCCCAAAATATGTGTTATAAATCCTACTCCTACCTGTGGTTATAATCCCATTTAGAAATGAGTTTTCTTTGTTAAGAGGCCATATGGGTGCAGGATGTGTTTTAAGCCAATCACCTTTGAGATATAAAAAAGAGCAGATTAGGCACAGTAAGGCAGCAGAGATGGAGGAAGATAGATGCCATGCCACATGAGAATCACAAAAGAGCCAAGGAATAGAAGTTGAAGAGACAAGAACCATCCCCCAGAGCTCCCAGAGAGAGAAAGCCTTCCCTTAGAGCCAGTGCCCTAGCTTTGGTCTTCTAGCCTCCTACACTGTGAAAAAATAAATTTCAGTTTGTTAAAGCTACCCCCTTGTGGTACTTCTGTTATAGCAGCATTAGATAACTAAGACAATAGGCAAATGTACGGAGACTAAACTTTATTAGTGGTGACCAGGATGGGAGGAAAGGGGAAAAGAGGAGGCATTGTTTAGGAAACAGTTTCTGTTTATGGTGATGGAAAATTTGGCAGTGGATAGGGTGATGGTCATCCAACAAGATTAATATAATTGGTGTCACTAAATTGGTTGGGCAATCCTACTTCCGTAGTGATACTGCCTCGGAAACCCAAGGAGGGGTCGCTATGAGTCGGGGCCGACTTGACGGCACATAACTACAACAACAACAAATTGTACATAGGAGCTCTGGTGGCATAGTGCCTAAGGCATTTGACTGCTAACCAGAAGGCTGGCAGTTCAAACCCACCAGCCACTCTTCAAAGGAAGGTTGGACAATGTACTTCCATAGAGATAACGCCTCAGAAACCCAAGGAGGGGTCACTATGAAATTGTACATGTGGAAAATGTACAATTTTATGGTATATAAATTTTATGATACACACACACACACACACACATATATATAAGCTCTGGTGCTGTAGTGGTTAAGGCATTTGGCTGTCAACCAAAACTCTATGTTTCTAATCCACCAGCTGCTCCTTGGAAGAAACATGAGGCAATCTGCTTTTGTAAAGATTTGTAGCCTTGGAAACCCGAAGAGAGTCACAATGAGTCATTTTAAAGACAAGGTCATTATGCAGAAATTGGCATTATATGAAAATGCAGGATGATCACATCAGATCACAACAAGGAGGATGACTACATCATTACATAACTACCAGATTTCATCATTGCATAACTGCCAAACCATTGAGAATCGTGGCCCAGCCAAGTTGACACATAACCTTAACCATCACAGCCAGCATTACTCTCACCTCACACCTCAGCATTCATCACTGCCAGACATATGTCATTAATGTGCAAAATAGTCAAATATTAGATTTTTTACTAATGTCATGAATGTGAAATATCAGATAATGAGATAGTCAATAGTGAGAAGTAGGTGTATTTGCAACAATAAAACAAACAAACAAACTCCTGCCTTGGGATAAAATGAGATGCCATTATCTTTCCTCACCTGGGCCTGGTCATGATTTTCTAGGGGGATGTGTATGCTACACCATGAGTTTATAGACTTGCTGTGTGTGAAGTTGTTCTTACACTTTTGGTAATGTGGTAATCAACTGGATTACTTCACAAAAATCCACAGACACAAAAATGTCCTGGATGTAGGAGATCCAAGTAGAAGAAAAGGTCAAACCAAAATAGCTGGGTTTTCAGTTAGAAACTGGCATTTGGCCTTTTGAATTGAGTATACTCCACTTGCTCGGTAGACTCACTATATGCAAAATTCAAAACTAAAGGGCAAAACAAACAAACAAAACTCTAGGGCAAAGAGGGAGAAAGAGTAAATACAGACCAAATATGTGATTCACAAGTATCGACTCCTTGGCCCCACCCAGCCCCCATCTGCCAAATCCCTATACACATATCACAACCTTCTCTTTGTGTACCAATAGCCCAGCGAGTTGGCTTTGGCACCAACTCAGAAATAATCATGCTACAAAAATGAACAAAGTCTCCACTGTGCACTGACCAGACATTCCTTGAACATCACCCAGGCCTGTCTCCTTTGCCAGTGAAAGAAAATTAAGATGGTCATTTATGCTGAGGAACAGTCACAGACCTGCTGATCTTAGCCATTTGCCAGCAGAAGCTGAATCTGTAGGTAGGGCTTGTGTCTGCTCTCCCCTCGGCAGAATATAAAACTCCTGCAGGGGCTCCCACTTTCATCCCATCTCCGCACACATCTGTCCCTGCTTCCCATTTATTGGTCCTCTGTTTTATGCTTCCTTTCCTTTAACCATGTGCCTGTCTCTCAATTCCTTTTGTTTCATTTGTTCTTACAGTTTATCATATCTCCTCTATTAACCAGTCCTGCTTATTGGAATGGGACTTCCTAGAAAAATAAAAACCAATCTAGCTATATACATGAGGCCTGAGAGTGTATTCATGGAGTGCTGTCAAAGACATCTAAAAGGCAAGCATGACACAGACTATCTCCCCACAGGAGAGCCTGAGAACTCCACAACACTTACCCTATTGAATTGAGCTAGGAGACGCACAATTGTCTGGAAGGAATAATACATGAAGCCAGTACCAGCAGGATAAAACACAGAGTTGTGTGGTGGAAAAATAGAACAGGATTTGGATTCAAGAACTCTGGCTTTGAGCCCTGGCACTGTTATTAACTTTTGACCTCTTCTAGTCTCAGTTTTCTCCCTTGAGAAATGAGGAATATTAATAATACCTGTATCTTAAGATTATTGTAACAAGTGAAAGAGTATATGGAAGGGAACTTTGAAAGCTATTAAAGGTAACGTGTATGTATGTGTGTGTGTGTACTGGGACAAGCAAGTTTTGATGAGTTACGAGAAAAAGAGATAGTTTGGAAAAGCCATGGAGGGGTGCTGATGAAAGTGAGACTCTGGGGAGTCTGGGGCTAGCACAAGCTGGAGAGACAGATGGCCTGTTTTACAGTTGTTGATCCAGGCAGGATCTGACCGGCACCAGCAATGAGCAAAGATCAGCCCCTCTGTGCTGTGTTCCCTTTTTAAGAGATGAGAATCTTGAGTGACATGTGTTAGGCTTTATGAGTTAGCAGCAGTTACTTGGTCTTCCTTACCTCCGTGTTTAGTCTACTTACTCGAATGATTAAAGAGAAATCTTTAATTCCCTACATCAGTCAACAGTAAAAACAAAACAAAACAAAACAAAAAAAAGCTTTGATTCTTGGCTTCTGTGCATTCTACCAACTGAAAGAGATCTAAATTAGCCCACATGGCACCAGTGGCCAGACACACATATAAAACCACACATATAAACTCAATAAGAATCAAAATACACACATCCAAAATGAAACCTCCTACACAGCATCAATAAAATACATCACATCTATTGAAAAGCCAGGACAAATCAATAAGTGGCATCATCATTGTCTTGGCTTACCCTGCCCTTTTCCAGAGCACTTGAGTAGTGTGGATGGTGTGGAACTGAAAGGGAGCCAATTCTGAGGGCTCAGTATGTCCTGAGTGCTGGGACCCTTCTAAGATATCACAGAGCTATATTTCATCAGCCCAAAGGACATTTCTTGAAAATCACTTTGTATATAGCCAAAAAGTTCTTCCCATAGCTTCCTGGCCAATTCTGAAAATTTCTCAAGAAAAAGATAAGTGATAAGAGAAAAGCAGGAGATACTACTAATAAAATCTCCACTGAAGATGCAAGAATATTATGGATTTTATAGCTCAGTAACGTATCTACATTAAATTAATTAAAGAATTATCTTTCCACTTTCTTTTCTGTGGTATACACAAAATAATAAATCAAAATTGTTCTCATTTACTAAACCACTGAGAGTTTATTGGTGATATAATCAATATTATATGATTCCTACAGATTAATCTAAATTTCATTAAGCTCAAGGTTCCAAGCTTAGGTTTCTGGAATGTAAGAGCTAGGAGAGGCTTCTAGAGCAATTACCTTTGCCTTCAGTCATTTATTCAAGAAACATGGTGATCAAGTCTTTGTAAGAGAAAACCATTTTCTAGCTCTGATTGACCATAATTTATACTTTAAGAATTCAATACTCTGAAATGTAGAATCCTTTTTAATTAAAGTAGAGAATCTTGAAAATTTAATAAAAAACAGCCTTTCTAGCTTTCTCCTTTAATTCTCCTGAATATGCATTTTAAGTTATTGTAAATCAGATTCTTCACTATCTGTGACTACAATTTTGCTTCTTTGACTGGAATGTTAGTCATTGCAATATTTTACACATGGCTAACTGAGCTCTGGTAGCACAGTTCCTAAGGGATCTGACTGCCAACCAGAGAGGTTGGTGGTTCAAACCCACCAGCCACTCTGCAGAAGCAAGAATGGGCAATCTACTTCCGTAAAGATTTATCAAACTAACCAAACTCACTGCCATGAAGTCAATTGGACTCATAGCAACCCTTCCTTGGGTTTCTGAGGCAGTATCTCTACAGAAGCAGATTGCCCGATCTTCCTGCCCAGGAATGGCTGGTAGGTTTGAACTGCCAGCCTTCTGGTTAGGAGTCAAATGCCTTAGGCACTAGGTTACTAGAGCTCCCAACCCAATGAGGGTCGCTATGAGTTGAAATTGACTCGATGGCAGTGGGTTTGGTTTTTTCGGTTTAACTGTACATGAGAAAATGCATGACTACACCACTACTATACATTATACTACTCAGTGGGGATACCTTACCAGAAACTTGTCTTTTAAGTTTAATCCATTAATTGCTCTTACCAGTTATCATCTCATAGTACCTGACAAAGTAGTTAGCACACAGTAAGTGTTTAGGAACTGTTGGTTCCCCCCACACCTCCCCCCCTTTGAATAGTCACTGTGGGTTGGAATTGACTCAATTGCAGTGGGTTTGGTTCTTTGGTTATAGCCATTATATTTCAGAGTAGCCATGAATTAACAACGGAAAGTAAAATCAAATATGGAGGAGAAAACTTGCTTTTCAGGAAAGCTTACCTGTTTTTGCTGAAGCAACCTGAAACGGAAAGTTTAGAACATTAGAACCTCAAAGGAAAACACTATTTTGTAAAATATAAAACATGAATCAGAACAATAATAAATTACTCACAGCATTTTTATGGCATAATGTGAGTTTTCTTTCAAGCCATTCAGAGTATTTATTTGCACAAGTCATTTCCCAAACTCAAATCTGTTGCAAAGCAATCCTAAATCGAATTTAGAAGTTGGCGGTAGATCACATTACTATTTCATTTTTCTCCCTGAATCTACCTATTGAACTAAGTTAAGAGCTGATGACAGATTTCTCAGAAATCTTTGTTCTTAAAATAAAATGATAATCTTGTTTTCTTTCTCTAGCACATTGCATTACATTTCAAACACACAAATGTAAACGATCTTGATATTGTCCATAAGTGTCGACTTCTATCTTCCCACCTCCCAGCCCTCAAAAAAGAGAGAAAGATCATGATTTTTTTTTTTCTAAATAGTTGCAGGTAAATTGGGATGTTGAACTCACCATTTTAAGACACATAAGACAGAATCCAGTCAAAGACAAACATTTCTTCAGTCCACCAGCCATCCTGTTGGACATAACACTAACGCGGCACTGAACGAAGTGACTAGGGTCCTCTTTGGTCCCTATGAAGCAGCACCATTGGTCTCTGGGTTGTGGGGCTGTGATTCTGGGAAGTAGCTCCTCCCCTTTAGTGTGGAGCTGACTTGTAACTAGGGACACCTGGAGACTGGCAGGGACAGGTATTGTTGCAAAGACTGAAAAAAAAAAAAAAAAAAAAAAGAGAGAGAGAGAGATTTGGAGAAATCCATACCAAGTGAGCCAAGAAAGTTCTGTAACCTAGGTTTCAAGGTAACGTGTAGAATGCCCTCCTTCTCTTTAAATGTTTTTATTTTAAAAAATAAAAATTTCATAAAGCTTTACAGAGATTAGTTGATACAGTGGGATGATCATCTTGAAACTCAGAAATCCTGACCAGTTTTTTGTTTTGTTTAGTTTTTTGCTTTCATTTGTTGTTGTTGTTTTGGTCAAAAATGACCAGTCCTACTGCCTGCATAGCTTTAATATCTAAGATCAAAGAGTAACTGCGTATCTCTGCACTGAGGAGGTTAGTGGGAAGTCCCAGATAAGCACATTAAATACATCCACTCCCAGTACTACCCTTCAGTTCCAGTGCTTTTGAGTTCTAGAGCCATCTTCCTAGTTCAGACTTCATAATAATTAGCATTTAAACCAACACTATAGTATTTCATCCTAACTATTATGGATTAAATCATATGCCTGCCAAAATGAAGCCATCACTACAATACCATTATTATGTCTTTCATCCCTATGAGTTTCTTCTTGTACTTTTGTAATCCTTCTTTCATGCCCCTCCTCCCTGCCCCTCCTCATCCCCAGGCAACTATTGATTTCCTTTGTATTTTTAGAATAATTTGCATTTTCTAAAATGTTATATTTTTGAATCAAATAATATGTATTCTTTTTTGTCCAACTTCTTTCACTCAATATAATTGTTTTGAGATTCATCCATGCTATACACAAAAAAACCAAACTAACTGCAATCAAGTCCAATCCGACTCATATTGACCCCTCCTTATATTTCCAAGGCTGTATCACTACGGAAGTAGATTGCCCAACATTCCTTCTGAGGAGTGGCTGGTGGGTTTGAACCTCCAACCTTCTGGTTAGCAGTCAAATGCCTTAGGCACTATGCCACCAGACCTCCCTTATTATTTAATCCTAACTATTATGCATTAAATCATATGCCTGCCAAAATATGTTGAAATCCTAACCACTGTACCTGTGAATGTGACCTTGTTGGAGATAGATTTTTTCTTTTGTTATTAGTTAACAGGTCATCCTGGAGTAGGATGAATCCTAGTCCTAATGTCTCTGAGTGGTGTTTTATAAAGGAGAGAGGAGACATGAAGACAGAGACACACAGGACAGAGGGGAAGACAGACACTGTAGAAGCAGATCCATCTGTAACCAACAAAGGAATATTAAGGATTGCCAGCAGCCACCAGAAATGAGCAGAGGAGCATGGTACAGTTCTTCTAAACGTCCTCAACAGAAATCAACGCAGCCGATACCCTGATTTGGACTTCTAGCCTCCAGAACGGAAACAAAAACTTTTTATTCTTTAAAGCCACCCACTTTCTGGTATTTTGTTGTGGCAGTCCTAGGAAACTAAGATACTAACAGTAAACATGTAAGTAAATGAGTAATAAAAGTACTTAACTGACTGGTCCTGAATCTTGTATCAAATGGTAGAGCTGAAATTAAAATGACCTTTTCTAACAACAAAGATAGGGTAAAAGGGGCAGGATTTACCCTCTCTGACTTTAAGACTTAAAATAAAATGACAGTAATTAAGATAGGGTGGTGGTAGCATCAAAATAGAAAGATCAATGTGATAAAATAGTTCAAAAATGGACCCACATATATATGGACAATTGCTATTTGACAAAAGTGCACAGGCAATCAAATGGAGAAAGTTAGTCTTTTCATGGATTGTGCTAAAACAATTGGAAAACTATATGCAAAACACAAATTTTGATCTTTACCTCATGTTAATCGTAAAAATTCACTCAAAATGGATTATAGACCTAAAACTATGAAATTTCTAGAAAAAAAAGAAAAGGTCTTCATGATCTTATTGTATAGGCAAAGATTTCTTAGATGTAATATGAAAGCATGATCTATTAAAAAATATTTGGGTGAAGTGGACTTCATCAAAATGAAGAACTTCTGCACCATTAAGAGAATGAAAAATAAGCCACAGACTAGAGGAAACTATTGACAAATCCACTATCTGATAAAAGACTTGTACACAAAATATACATATATACATGTTTGTGTGTGTATGTATGTATGTATATCTGTTCTCAAAACTCAAGAAAACAACTCAATGAAAATGGGAAAAGATTTGAACAGACACATCACAAAAGAAGATGTACACATGGAAAATAAGAACATGAAAAATATTTCGTTAGGGAAATGCAAAGTAAAACTATAATGAGATAATACCACTATATATACTTATTTGTTGTTATTTGCCATCGAGTTGGCCCCGACTCCTAGCGACCCCTCCTTGGGTTTCCGAGGCAGTTATCACTACGGAAGTAGGATTGCCCAACCTTCCTTCCGAGGAGTGGCTGGTGGGTTTGAACCTCCAGCCTCCTGGTTAGCAGTCAAGTGCCTTAGGCACTAGATTTTTATAATTAGTAAGACTACCTATATCAAGTGTTGGCAAGGGTGTCAAGCAACTGAAAATCTCATACCTGGTGAAAATGTAAAATGGTACAACCATTCTGGAAAACAATTTGTTTCTTTAAAAGCCCTACCATCAAATCATTTCACTCCTGGGTATTTGTCCAAGAGAAATGAAAGCATATGACCATACAAAAACTTATACATGAGTATTCATAGTAGGATTATTAGTAATTACCCCAAAATGAAAGGAAACTAACTGTCCATCGACCAAGGTGAGTGAGAAACAAAAGGAATACTACTCAGCAATAAAAAGGAATGAAATATTGGCACACAGTATAGCATGGATGGGGGAGCTCTGGTCGCTTAGTGCCTAAGGCATTTGACTGCTAACCAGAAGGCTGGTGGTTCAAACCCACCAGCCACTCCTCAGAAGGAAGGTTGGGCAATCTACTTCCGTAGTGATACCACCTTGAAAACCCAAGGAGGGGTCGCTATGAGTTGGATCCAACTCGATGGCACATAACAACAGCACTATAAGAGACTAAAAGAGACCTACAGAAATGGAAAGGCTATTTCCTTTGTGGATGGGCCATATTTCTTTTAAATATTAGTTTCCCTTTTGGAATATTTACTGCCAATTTTTTTGTTTTGTGTTTTTACCAAGCTGTTCTACATTCTTTAAAAATACACCTGTTAGTAGTTGAAGAGATAGGTCTAAGCCAGACGGTGGAGGACATTTTATGCCATTCTAAGGAGCTTGAACTTTGTCCCAAATGAGCTGTTGAAGGATTTCAAATCAGAGGGTCACGTGTTTAGATGCACTTTTCCAGAATATCACAGCTAGCATGGAACAGAAGTAGAGAGACCTCCTAGAAGACTCTTGCAGTCATCCAGAAGAAAGGTAAAAAAAGCCAGAACTAAAGTAGTGAGTGAAGGAGTTCTGGTAGCATAGTGCCTAAGGCATTTGACTGCTAACCAGAAGGCTGGTGGTTCAAACCCACAAGCCACTCCTCAGAAGAAAGATGGGGCGATCTACTTCCTTAGTGATACTGCTTCGGAAACCCAAGGAGGGGTCGCTATGAGTCGGGTCCGACTCCATGGCAATGGCTGCCCTTTTTGTATAGCATGGATGGGGAGCTCTTGTGCATAGTGCCTAAGGCATTTGACAGCTAACTAGAAGGCTGGCAGTTCAAACCCACCAGCCACTCCTTGGAAGGAAGATTGGGCATCTACTTCCGTAGTTATACTGCCTCAGAAACCCAAGGAGCGGATGCAATGAGTTGGGTCTGACTCGACGGCAAATAACAACAACAGAAGAGAATATTGGGAGGATTGAGTTGTAGTTTTTATATGGCAGTTAGGGAAGACATCCATCACTGAGATGCTTGAACACAGGCCTAAGAGAAGTGAGAGTGAATTCTTTGGAAATCTAGGAAAAGAGCATGCCAAGCAGAGAAAGAGGGAAGACAAAGGCCTTGAGGAGGGAGAGGGCTTGATTTTTGTTGTTGTTATTTGCCGTCGAGTCAGCCCTGACTCATAGCGACCCCTCCTTGGGTTTCAGAGGCAGTATCACTACGGAAGTAGGATTGCCCAACCTTCCTTCCGAAGGGCTTGATTAGAACTGTGCAAACACTGATTCCACCAGCTGCCAGCAGTGTTAGTAGCTGACAGCTCTAACACTTTCTAACTCTAACCCTGTCTCAGATTTACTCTTGCAAATGAGAGCTGCATTTCTCAAAGTGACAACCCCTTCCCTGGGGCAGCCACATCCAATAACTGGTGGGTGAAGGAATAAAAAGGCCCCTTGCTTGAATTCAGGACAATTCAGGGCAGGGGTGGTATATTGCTGGTGCACCACCAGTATTTTAGTTCTTTGGAGATCTCCTTGTGGCATCTATCTTTCCTTCATTTGTGCTTACTTCTCTATCCTTAATATGTTCTTTTTATATCTGCAAAGTAGTTTAAGACACATCCTACATATGGCCTATTAACGTAACAAATAAAACCCTATTTGCAAATGGGACTGCATCCACAGGTATAGAGGCTAGGATTTACAGCACATATTTTACGGGGACACAATTCAATCTGCAACAGCCATTGTCTACCAGGTATCAACCAGGGCCAGCGTGAAGATATGGGTGAGGCCAGAAAGGAACCTAGAGTATAAAATTCAAGTAGGCACTCACTCTCAAGTTTACATGAGTTCAGAGTTTCAGAGGTAGGAATCATAAATCCCTCAAGTGGGATGGTGAGTAATGATAAACAGGACCACCCCTACATCCAGCCTTGACCCTTGGACCCATGTGGTTTACCTATTTGGACACAGTACTATATAATACTCATTAATT